ACAAAGCATTGGAAAAAGGTTTGAGTTTTCACGATTTGGGCGACACGATCCGCACGACTTTTAATTGGCGAAGTTCGATAAAAGATGAACTGAAAGCCGGAATTTCCGTTGAAAGAGAAAGCGAATTGCTCAAAAAATGGCACGAACGGCAATGAAAAAAATCATCATCATCGGTTCGGGCGGCGCGGGAAAATCGACTTTTGCAAGACGTTTGGGCGAAAAGACGGGCATTGAAGTTCTTCATCTCGACAAACTTTATTGGAAGCCGGATTGGGTCGAACCGCCAAAGAAAGAATGGGAAAAACTTCTCGAAACGAAGCTCGAAAAAGACGAATGGATCATGGACGGAAATTTCGGCGGAACGTTGGAAATGCGTCTGAAATACTGCGACACGGCGATTTTTCTCGACCTTCCGCGCAAGGTCTGCGTTTACCGCGCTTTGAAGCGTTGGATAAAATACCGCAACACGAACCGTCCCGATATGACCGTCGGTTGTAACGAAAAATTTGACCTCGAATTTCTCGGCTGGATTTGGAATTTTCAAAAAATCAAAAAGCCGAAGATCGAAGAAAAACTGAAAAATTTTGAAAAAGAAAAGAATATAATCCGCCTGTATTCACAGAAAGAGGTCGAAAATTTCTTTTTGAATTTCAGCAAAATAAAGTAAAATCACACAATGTTTTTTATTATCGGCACAAAATATTTCACTTGGGGAAGCGAAAAAACGACGATCCCGATTCGTTGCAGTCAATGCAATATCGTTTCATCATTCACGGAAAAAACGGGAATGAATTTTCTGACGCTCTTTTTCATCATCCCGACCATTCCGTTGAGCGGAAAAACAAAACTGATCGAATGCCCGAACTGCAAAGCGCGGTTTCAAACAGAATAGTTTCGGTTGTAACGACGGAATTCAAAGGGCGCGGAACATCGGCGACACTTTTACAGAGCTTGCAGAAGCCTTCTGCAACTCTGCAAACCCTTTCTGCAAGGTTGCAGAGGCTTTCTGCAACTCTGCAACACGCTTCTGCAAGGTTGCAGAAGGCTTCTGCAACCTTGCAATGCCCTTCTGCAACCTTGCAAAACCTTACTGCAACTCTGCAAAACCTTACTGCCGTCTTTCCGAACCACTCGAAAAGCCTGAAATCATCGCACTTTCAAAAGAAATTCGGTATTGATTTAAAAATTCATTTAACCGAACTTAGATTTTTCGTTAAAGTAGATTTATGGAATGGCAAAAAGGCGAATTTACGATCAGCACCGAGCGTAAAAAACTGCAAATCGAGGTGATTCAGCGGTTTTTGGCGGAAGAATCTTATTGGGCGAGGGAACGGACGAATGAACAAACTGTTCGAGCGATAAAAAATTCCTTGCCTTTTGGGGTGTATAAAGGCGAAAATCTAATAGGGTTTGCGCGTGTCGTTTCCGACTTTGCGACCTTTGCTTATCTCGGCGACGTTTTTATTTTGGAAGAATATCGCGGAAAGGGTTTGAGCAAATGGCTGATGGAAACGATCATCGAACATCCCGAACTTCAAAACTTACGCCGTTGGATTTTGGCAACGAAGGACGCACACACGCTTTACGAACAATTCGGCTTTCACGGATTGAAATTTCCCGAACGCTGGATGGAAAAACCTGCTCCGAATGCTTACTAATTTTACGTTTCGGTTTATAATCGAAACAGAAG